ATGTGTGGAGAAGTATATATAGAAGATACAGAATGGTAAACAAAATAGGTAATGATCTGTAAGATGAGCATGAATATAATTAAAGCCCATATAAAGAGAGGTACCGGGGGCCAAGTTACTTTACTAAAAGATTTTTTATATGTTTGTTTGTGTCTGTTTATGTTTTTGAGAAGTATTGGTGAAACCTTTTAGAAACACAGAAAGATAATCAAGTCAGAAAGAAATAGAGGACAAGAGATGTTTTTATGTTCATTTAGAAATGGTTTAAAATAGAATTGTATTGTATAAGACAAGGTTTTATCTGACTTGTAAAATTTATAATGGAAAAAGGTTCAAATATGTAATGGTTGATGATGATTTGTTTGTTTTTGAAATTAATAAAACTTGTTTAAAAAAAAAAAGTACTTCCTAATGGCAAGCCCCCCCCACCATTCCCCCCCTTTTTGCATGTTTTAATATAGGCCTTAATTTTGGGGGAGGGGCTTAATTTCATTTCATGCCTATAAAACATGCTGGGACTTCCTATTGGGGGAGGCCGTATTGTTGGAGAAACAGGGTAGATGCAAAAACCAAAAATCACCAAATAATCCAAATAATCCAAGGCTGTTTCTACTTGCTTCTTTTTTCCACTTTCTCTTCCTGGGGTTCTATTATTTTGTTACCAAGTTTTAATTAAAATGTATCTTTGAGGAATCTTGTTAAAATATCACTGTAAGTTCCTTTTAATTACAGTTCCATTCCTTAATTCCAGGCAGTCTCCTCCATTTTTCCAGATCCTGCCCTTTTATTCTTTTTTTTTCTCCTTTCCTGCTTTTAAAAACTTTTAAGTGTCCAGAAATCTTTATTATCCCTTTGACTTTTATTTTCAGCTTAGACACCTATTAATGTCAAAGTGGATTTTTTTTCAATTTCTTGCTTAAGTCTCTTAGCAATCAGTATAAGGAAGGGAAGAAAAAAAACCTAATCCTTTCCCTTCTCTCTCTCCTTCACAGCTTCAAAATCTTCTTTGGGAACAATGTTGTTAAGTTTAAGTTCCAGGGTACCTTATTTGTTGCTTTTGCTGTTTGACCCGGTCAACCAAAATTTTCTCTTCTTATCTTCCTCCTGCACATTCTTTTCTGGCCGAGTTCTTCTTTGTGGTGGCCATTTTTGACCACCGCTACAACCACCTTCGGGAAAGGGAGTAATGGCCAGCTGGGGAGGAGAGATGCGGCTCTCCTCAACCCTGCAGGCAGTCTCCCCCCTCTTCACCACCTCTACGGGGTGGCTTAGCCCCAAAACCAGCCGGCTCGGGGCGTTCCAGCGGCGAGCACGGATCGAAGCCTCGGAGAGATAAGGTTTCGGTCTGTCACCGAAGAAGCTCAAACCGGAAGACTTTTCTGGGTTTTCCTAATGCTTTGTACATGATGTTACTCTGAAGTGGGCTGGATCATTCACTTAGTCCAAACTAGAAGTGAAAGCTTACCAACTGGTAAAGATGGGACAGGATGTCATGATCAGAAGATATCATATGATATCAAGCCCAAGCCTTGGTGTTTTATTAATCCCTGAATGTTTTGGTGTCTGAGAATGATCTCTTTGGCTAACTTTGGAGGTGCAGTCCTTCTCTAATGAAGTGGGAAGATAATGCATTTTTGTCCTATTTGTGAACTACTTGAAAACAGCAGTCTAGGTTCAACAGATTCATCTAACAGGGTTCTTATATTCTTCTTTAAATAATTTAACTATACCTACAGAACATCTGCACCCATCTTAAAATCATATAACCCTCCTATGTTCAGACAATCTTTTTTTTAAAAGGATCCAAGATACACAATTAAAATTACTTATTTTAAACAGGGTGATAGTTGTAACAAATAGAATTTTACAACTCTTTGCTGGGAGCCAATACATATGAGTTATGCATATCAATATGAATCCTGGTCTTAAACTTGCAAGGAAATAATGAAGTCATTTCTCTTAGCAAGTTTTTTTTTCAAAACCACAGGAATTATTTGAAGCTAGTAATGCTTATATAATATTCAAAAACAATCACTTCTTAATTACTGAACACGCTATGTCAAAGCATTCTTTCCATTCTATATTAATGTGCAATTTAATTCTCTTTAGTCCCAACAATTTGGATGACACAACAAAAGTCATAAATCTAAGTGCTAGTCTACATTTATTACAGCAATTATTTCTAGCTTGCAATGATACCATTCATAAGTTAAAATATCACTAGCAATTACATATCGGGGAAGGGAAGGGAAAGGAAAGAAAAGGAAAGGAAAGGTCTTTTTTGGTAACAACTTGGAACTATAATGCTAAAGGACAGACTAATTTATAGCTAGTCTGTCTTCAACTCTTAGCTGCTGGGTTGACTTCAAAGTACTATTTCAGGCTTTTGATCATGAGTCCTCAAAAAGTATCAGGCATTATTGCCAGGATTCTCAGGCTGTCTAATGCTCTTACAATCTGAGCTACAAGATGTGTCCCTGAAACATTTAAAGCTGCCTTCCTATTGGTTTAAGCTGTACATTCCTGCCCTCTTACCAGCATTTTAAAGGTTGTAAAAATGTAGCGCTCACCTACAGTCACTAAAAAGTAAATGCACAATCACTCACCTACATTACAAAATGATACAGTCCCAATTGTTCATATTTAACAACATTAAACCCATTAGATAGAGAGACACAAATTATTTTTGGTGGGGGGAAAAACCTATTTTTTTTTTGACAAAAAAGGACAATTGGAAGAGAGATAGTTTTAAATGTCTGCAAATATTTTTAATATGTGGCAAATATTTTTGATTTCACCATCCCTTGGGAGGGTTTGGGGGGATCTTCAGGGGTCCTCACAGCACATTTTAAAGAAACACTGAGCCAGAGGAAAAATACGCAATCTTCTATAGAAAGATGAGTGACACTGTTTTCAGTAAATACAACTCACTTTCATTGAATACAGCATTTTTATCAGGGCCTCCTTCTGTTCAGTCACCTCCAACGAAATCCCTCTGTTATGCAATCCCTTCAACTGTCTAAACTCTTTGTAACTTGAAACAAAGCTATGTATATACTCACATTCTGTTTTGAAAAGCGAAGCCCTCGTTAAATTAAAGAGTTAAAGATTTAACAAAAATGATTTGTCAACAGCAAACCGAGCATTGGATCCAAGATAATTTTGAAAGAGAAGAATGAAGACCACTTAATAGCTCTTTTTATAATATATTTCCTTAATCTGTCAATCACAGTTCTGGTGGAGATGTTATCATTACTAATTCAAAATTGTATTTTTATTTGAGCTTTATTTTCCAATACAAAATAAATTGCCAGAAATTGCAATTGTTACAGGATACATGCATAGCATGCTGTAAAGCTAAATAATAAGATACTGTACATGCCTCGATGGGCAAAACAATAAAAATATTTTCAATTTATTAGCAGGCCTTTTTCTACTTTCAATCAAAATAATGGTTCTTTTTGGATCTTTATATCATGGCTTGTGTCTAAGCCACTTTGCTGTGGTGATTAAGGTACCAGGCTAGAAACAGGGCGATGGTGAGTTATAGTCATGCCTTAGGCACTAACCAGCTGGGTGACCTTGGGCCACTCAATAAACTTTAACGTTTTGCCTAGTTGCCTAGTTCAACTGAAATATTAAAAATATGGTTTCTTGTTTCCTCTGAAATGGGAAGTTAAGATCCATAAAAGCTTTCCCGTAACATGTCAGAAATGCAGACAAAATCCTCATATTCATATTACAGTTTAAGCAGAAGTATTTACTGTACAAACCAAGAGAATGAATGAAAATACTATAAGCATTTGAGGTCAGTCAGCTGTGTAAGGAAAAATAAGATGATAGAACTAAGGGGGGGGACATACAATTTTAGGTATTTTTTTAAAAAGGGAATCACTCGATTATGGCAGCATACAAATATGAGAAATAAATGACTTTGGTTTGGTACATATTAAGCTGCCATGTGATTTGTATTATTTTGCCTTAACAAATTTTGAGTGTTTACCCATTATGGTTTATCATTATTTTTTAATCATAACAGGCCATTGTGGCTTATTTAATAAAGAATCCTGAACTGAATTGTGACAAAATGTTATGGTGAACTAGGCAGCCACCAAGCTGATGGCATAGGTCACAACTACAAGCTTCAGGTCATTAAGATTGAAACTAGTGTCTTAGTATCAGGATAATTTTGTGATGGTTCCAAGTCAGGAACTGCAATGCTGGTATACTGATTTTTATTGTTCCAGAATTAAAACTCAACACCTTGCCAAAGTCTTTAATACTTTATCACTTTTACAAAGCAACATTAGGCTATGCATGCTATGCAATGCATTATTTAAACAAACCAGATTTAAGAATATTGAAATCTGAATTCTTTGCCAAGGTGCCAAGTCTGTACCTTTCTTTTTGCTAAGAAAAAAAGGGGTTTCATAAACTTTCTGATATTTTGTGATACTGTGACTCTTTAAAATACTCAAATGAATTTGTGTGACATTCTCTCCATAAATTAAACAATTGCCTTCACTGGCTGATAGCTGGTCAAGAAATAAACAGACCACTCACTTTTAATAATTGATTTTTAATCTATACACTAAATAAAACAATGAGATCCATAGAGCTTTATAAAATAAAAATATATATTTCATTGGAAAGAAGTCAAAAGAATCCCAGTGAAAGGAGTAGGATTCACACCTTAATGCAGAAGATTCTCAAAGTGAATATAACGATAAAACCAGAAACTTTTCTTTTGGGTTAAATGGAAAAAGACTTGGAAAAAATATGGAACTTTGATGTTATGCAGTATATGTTGACAGCAGCAAGATTATTTTATGCACAAAATTGAAAGGACACTTTGATTCTCAGAATGGATGAATGGCTGTAATAGTTGATAAGAGTTAGCAGAGATGGCCAAATTGACTGCTTTGATTAAAGAAAAAACACAATCACTTTTGTTTCTGCTTGGAAACCGCTTCTGGACTTTGTGCTTGCGGTGGAAAGAAATGAAACTTTGATTTTGGGTTTTACCAATTAGATAGGTTTGTTGTTATAGAAATGGCTAGTTCATACTATTTATGTAAAGGTAAAAAGTTGAGTATTATTCTATTTTACTGCGCCAAAGAGAGTCGGAAGTCAATCTGTCGTCTTTCTTTTCCCCCTTTCCCTACACTTTTCTCTCCCCTCTTTTCCTACTATTTTATTTCGTATTTTTGTATTTTACATTATAAACTAATTTTTAAAAAAAATAACTTCTGTATAATTTAAAAAACATTTTAATGTAAGCAGGAGATTATATATTATATTGCATTGCATCATGTTGTATTGTATTATATTATGCAATTTATATTGCATAAGCTTAAAATTGGGATTTCGTTTTGAACACAGTCATTTTCATTCATGGAATTTCCTTGCCTTAAAACACTGCCGAGTGCACCATGTGGCATTGCTTTAAGCTGCTTTATTTTTCTCTCTCCCAGCATAGATACACTGTGTGTGATTTGCAGCTCTCACCCGTTCTCCCTTCTCCACTGCTGCATTTCCCTCTGCAGAATGAATGTCAGATCTAATTAAGTGGTAAGGCTCTTTTGCTTTTTATATGATTTTTTTTACGCCTCCAAGTCAGTGTTGACTCCCGAACTAGTCCCTGCAGTTTTCTTAGCAAGATTTTCAGAAGTGATTTGTCACTGCCTTCTTCTTTCTACAATTGATTGACTGAGCCAAGTAACTTACACAACTTTGTGCCTAAGGCAGGAATAGAACTCCCAGCCTCCCAGTTTCCAAACTGATGCTTTAACCACTACCTCAAAGTGGCTCTTCTTTGTGCATAATTACTCTGCCAAAAAGTACGTGTGGGTTCCATCCAAGGCTCTGCAACCTCATATTGCTTTGTGTTTAACATATATCAAAACCAGGGGTGGGATGTTGTTACGATTGCTACCGGTTGTTACGATACCCGATAGTTCAGAGAACTGGTAAAATGGGCCCCTGGCTGGCCCTGCCCCTCTTCGCCCGCTCCTCTGTTCCCTGCCCAGTCAGTCCTTATCACGCATGCGCAACATCGCGCGCATGCGTGACAATCACTGACACATTCTCCCCCGCCCGCCCCACCACTCCTTATAGCGCATGTGTGCTACATCACTTCCCTCCTTTTCCCGCCCGCTGCCATTGCTGGCTTGCACAGCAGCAGCAGCAGCCAGCCATTGCTACCTGCTTTCTGCCGCCCTGCCTGATCTGGGTGAGTGAGGGCTCTGCAAGCCCCAGTCGCCGCTACCGCCAGCTGCCCTTGCCCGGCTGGCCAGCCTCCCCAGGCCTGCCTGCCTCCCCTGGCCACCGTTGCTGAAGACGCGGATCAGTGAGACCTCCAAGCAAGCCCCGGTCACCTACCTGCCACCATCGCCAGTCCCGGTTGAGTCCCGATGACTCCTTGACTGCCAAGCCGCCCTCACCGATGCTGCCTGCCTTGCCTGGCCACCATGTTCCCCCCGTGGCCCACTGTACCGTTGCTGCCTGGCCTTCTACCACTGATTGGTAAGTAAGGAGGCAAGCAAACCCTGCCGGTCACCTACCTCCTCCTGCCGCCGCCGCTAGCCCCATTCAAGGGCTGACTCCCAGGCTGCCCAGCCATCCTTGCTACAGCAAGTTCCAAAGACTAGTCCCAACCGAGGACCCCAACGTAGCTGGCCAGCCAACTTGCCTGCCTAATTTTTGGTAAGTTGCTTTTTTAAATTTCTTTATATATTTCTTTATTGATTTAGTATCTGTTTTGTTTTTATTAATCATAAAAATAGAACAGACACTAAAAATATAAATTAATAGATAAATGAATTTGTTTTGTTACACTACTGTTATTGTTACATGTTGACACTTAAGTTTTTCAAACAGAAGTACCAACATGTAACAATAATAGTAAAATAATTTTTATTTATGTATTTATTTATGTTTTTAGTATCTGTTCTGTTTTTATGATTAATAAAAACAAAACAGATACTTAAAAAATAATTTTAAATAATTTTTAGTATAGGTTTTGTTTTTATTAATCATAAAAACAGAACAGACACTAAAAACAAAGATAAATACATAAATGAAATTTTTTTTGTTACATTACTGTCACGCGACCACCAAGCCACGCACAGTCGGTCTCTTGTCCACCAAGCCATGCCCAGTCAGCAAGCCATGCTTACCCGGTTACATGACTACCAAGCCATGCCCACAAATTAGGCCACGCCCACAGAAACGGTTGTTAAGAAATTTGAATCCCACCCCTGATCAAAACAGGTAACTGCTCAGAAACCAGAGAGAGAAAGGCACAATTCTTTATCTGTTGCCCTGCAACCCATATGTGTGGAGAAATGGAATTCTAGAACGCAGATCAGCAGCCATGCTGAATGAATTCGGAAGTAGTTTATCAAAGGACAAAAGGTTGAACTGCCAATGCTTTCCCTATAAACCAGAAGATTTTTCATGTCATCAAAGCAGTGTTGGGAATTACACACAATGCTGACTCACTGCCAGAAGAATCAAAGCTGCTGACAAAACAGATTCTTCCTCCTCTTCTACACAGCATATACAACTTCCAGTCTGCCCTGGCACCGTAAGTGGGGAGGAGCACCGGAAACAGATAGCAGGAATCCTATTGTCTGAGATTTGAGCCCATAGTATTGTATGTTTTGCATGTCGAAACAGCCAGACACAGAGAAAGTTTTTTTTTCCCCCCTCATGCCATCACTTTGCTGAAAATTTAATTCCCACAGCACCATCTTATGCCTAAGTATATCACTATTATCCTTATCATCTTTTCTACTATCTTCACTGATTGGTCTTGTTATTATGATTATTGTGGGAATAAACTTTGACTTGAGTATTGGGTAATGATTAGTCTAAGACCTTATACATACATGTCTGCCTAAAGGTCACCGAGATAAAGCAAGGAAATTAAAAGCAAACACCAGAAACAATTAAGCAGCTCAGACAAGTATAAACAATTCTATGTACTATATCTAATTATTGTAATCCACAATGTGAATGCTTACTATGTACAAAATTCTCAATAAAAAGGGAGCACTGAAAATTATTCTGGGCTTCCATCCCGAGTACACACGTTTGTGTCTCATTCTTTCCATGGGAGACCACCACAGATTATTATTACTCGGTTGTTTTGCATGTACACTGAGAGCTTCTGCACTGAAGGCGAACTACAGATTAACAGAGTTGGAAGGGACCTTGTAGGTCATCTAGTCCACCCCCTACCCCCACCCAAGTAGGAGACCGTACACCGTTTTTGACAAATGGCAGTCCAATCGCTTCTTGAAAGCCTCCAGTGATGAAGCTTCCACAACTTCCGAAGGCAAGCTGTTCCATTGGTTAATCATTCTCACTGCCAGTGAGAGAGTGTGTCTCACTGTCAGTGAGAGACAATGAGAGAGAAAATTATTTGTGTCTAATCACATTTGGCCAAATAAAGTATTCTATTCTATCCCTATTTAATTTACATGGCATTTTCAACCTTAAAAGTAATTCATCATTTTCTGCAAATCGGTAACAAATAACACACCCAGAAATGGGAATACTACAGGTTGTCCATTCTGAAGGAAGCATTAATACAACACAGCATGCTCCCCCGCGGGAGCCCCTGATAAATATGGGGCTGGAGGTGAACTATCAACTGAAGTCTTGGCAGCTGACACTACTAGTTGCCAATCTACTTCTATTTTTGTACTAGCTGTCCTCTAGAAGTTTCTGACTTGTCAGGTGAGAAAAATAAAAACTGTAGTTCAAAACTATGGAGCACAACAGATTGGGAACAACTGTGTTGTTTCTTGAAAGCTTGACACATTCCATTAAGGAAAAAGGAACCTAACTGTTGAGGAAAACTGAATGCTTAGCCTGTAGTTGATTATCAAACACCCTTAAACTGAACAAATTATATCCATTTAAAACGTAAATGAGATCTCATGGAATATCTCAAATTTCCCATCACGCATTTTGAAAATTTAACAATAATGATGATTACCTGCTATCTGTACAGAGCCATCCTCTCCCAGAAGAATATTACCAGCTTTTAAATCTCTAGAAAAAGGAATAAACAAAAAAAAAGCATTTAAATTCAGATGAGATGGGAGAGGAGGAGGAGGGAGAGGAGGCCTGCTGTGGAACAATACCACAGAATGGAATTTAAAACTGTCTGGTTCTACAATCTCAGATAATTTCATTTTAAAAGATGGCAAATTGAGGGGAAAATATGTTCTTCCAACTTACAAAAAAGCTCATTGTTCATTCTTATGCGAGCCGGAAAAGCTCTGATGCACTTCAGACCACACTGTTTAGCTTCCTTATCTCATGGAAGACTACTCTTATTATATTCACCCAGCAAATCAAGGGTTGCAGCTGGCTACGCATCAATCAATTAATTAATCAATCCCCATTTGCTATTTGTGCATGAGGGAAAGAAATGGAACCAAAACAATTGTCAAGACAAGAAGCTTCCACCCTTTGACATTTCAAAGAGAAAGCAGCAATTTTTCTGCCATCTCATCAAAACAATAGATCAAAAAGAGTATGAGCGTACCCTTTGACAGGCTAATAATAATTGCTAACATTGGTGGGATGATCTTGTGAACGGATGGAGCATTATCAACTAAATGGTTAATTTAAGATTAGGATTTCATATCTCCTCGTATTGCATTGCACAACTATAGAAGAATTTACTGGGTAAGTTCCTTCCCAATCAAGATTAGATCAGAGTCCTTTGGCTGATCATACCCTAGCCTTCTAGCCTTGCATTTATTTATTGATTTAATCAATTTACATAGCCATCCCAAGTTAATAGAATTAATAATGAAACTTTGCATTCTCGATTCACACAGAATGAAGCAACATGATTGTACCTGTGGATTTGTCCATTTCTGTGTAGATAGTCTAAACCTTCCAAAACTTCTTTCAGAATTGTGGCTATTATTGATTCCTCGAGCACGCCACTCTTGTGCTCTCCTCTGCTCACCACATATTTTATTATATCCAGCATTGAGCCTAGAGAGAGAGAAATTACAGATGAAAAATAGAATACCAATCTCTTTCTCTTACAGTCCAAGATTCATTATACATATTTAGGTTGCTCTAGATTTCAACCTAATTTTTCTGAGACCGAGAGAATAAATCTAGAAATCAGGTCTCCAAACTTGGCAACCTTAAGACTTGTGGACTTCCAATTCCCAGAGTGGCTGACGAATTCTGGGAGCTGAAGTCCACAAGTCTTAAAGTTGCACGCATTTAAAATACACAGACACATCAACAAGACTGAGTAAATGAAAAGGCATAGAAAACTGGATCATAAAATCATAGGTTCAAAATGTGCAACAAAATTATAGGAAGTATAAGAAATCTGTAATTAAATTGACTGATTGCTTCAGCAGCCCACTGCTGCTGAACATGCTTTCATATGAATTTTTCTTAGAGGTAACTGCATTTAAAAATATGACAGGCAACATAACTGTCAGGTCACAAGCAATATATACATTTTCCTGACTGAGAAACTTGAAAGAAATTAGACTGAATAAGAAGAGGCCATGTAGACTACCAAAACTAATCATCTGTTTAGAAATCTAATTTAAACGATTCTTGGGAGGTGATTACCCAGGATTCACATGGACATATTCAATGAAATTCAGGAGCACTATAAAGTTTGTTCTAACATTCAGTCAGAATTTGCCTCCTTGCACTTTGTTCTGCTTTTGGAGAAGATTTCTAAAAAACACCCTTTTTTTCTACATTTTTTTCTTCGGGTACTTGAAAAATGTTTATCACATCCTCATTTTTCTCTTCTCAAATTAAACATCCCATTGCCAGTGTCTCTTCTCATAAGATTTAGTTGCATTTCTGAGGGTCATCTTTCTTGTCCTTTTTCGCATATATTTTATTTCCCTCGATGATTATTTTCTGAATTGGAAGCTATGATGCAGTCCAACATGGCAAATGCCTTGTTGCAGCTACATCACACTGCTGACTCATATTCAGCTTGCAATGAACCACATTCCAGCTTTTTTTTTCCACCTTTACTATTACCAAGCTAGTAACTCCCATAACGGTGCATTTGCTATCTAGTTCCTAAGTGAAGATCTTAGCACTTATAATATTTAAATTTTACTCTATTATTTGTCCGCCTTTTTAAACAATTGAATTTCATTTCTGTGATTTCAACCGACCAAAATTGCTTCGGAGTTCACATTCATTAATTAACTCCTGTTTTGAATCGTCTGCAAGTTCGATGAGTGATCAATAAAAAAAGAAATGCTGAATCATACCAGACTCAGGATAGTCATGAGTCAGAGCCAGCAGTCTCAAGCAAAGCTGATACACCTTGGCTCTCAGGTTCTTCTCGCTTTTCATCAATTCTGCACCATGACTTGGCTTGTGCTTCCATCACCATCTCACCACCCCTTCTGGCCAGCCCCAGCCTCTGAATTTGGTTCTAGAAGAAGGAGAAGTTTCAACAACTCTCCCTTCAGGGTTGTCTTCACTTTTCCTTCTCGGGAAGTTGTCATGGGTTGTGCATGCACGCACATATGCGCTCTGGGTGTCAGCCCTGAAGCTGGCCTGAGTGAAGCCATTTTGAGACTTCAGTACTGACACACAGGAGAAAAGGGAGAGGGGAATAGAGATAGTTGGGGTATTGTAGTCAAAACAAAATACTTCCTCGTGGGAACCAAGGGCATTCCTGCAGGTGCTCAGAAGGAGGGGACTGGAGTCACCTAGCAACTGGACAGTATCCTGATTGGACCATGTGACTGTTTTGAGAAAGTAACAAACTTTTACTTTTAATTAGGTGAAAACCACAAGAATAATCAGAATTGGCTAGCTGTCAGGATTCCAGCCATCACCCTAATTTAAACCTTGAGCCAAACTTCAAAAAGCTTCAAAGAATTCATTAGGAGCGACATATTAGCATGACCTGGATGTAGCCGATTCTGAGACACGTAATTCATTGTCAGGCTTGACCCTGGTTTTCCCCCACCCCTCTGGGTGTATAATAATTCATATTCTCCAACAAAACACATCCACAGCCAAGAGTCATCAATATGTTCTCCAATTGGAGTTTTGCATGGCAGAAATTCCAGTCGGTTAGTATAATAAGGTATGCATGGAATGTACTTTCGCTTCCAAACTGCTGCATGCTCTTCAAACTCCTTCCCCCCCACTTTCTGTTGGCAACTATAAAACAGACATAGAAAATGTTTTATGAGTGGACAGTTTGTTTTCACCAGCCTGTGTTAATATGACATATCCAATAAACCTATTCTTTGAGGAAATTGCTTGCCTCAAGAGTTTTGTTTGCTATGGGTATGTTCCTTGGAACCCTGACACCGGGGTTTTCACTCTCTACTACAGAACCAACTGCCCTGCATCAGTTCCCCTCTTTTGCCATAGGTGGGTCACTTAGGACTGTGGTAGGTCAAACTATGACTCAACCAACATCTCAATCCTTTGCTCCCCAGAAGAAGCATTTTCCATGAATGCTGGGCCAAACCATGGTCAAGAAATATAGATATCTGGCCACAGTCCCAGTTGGCACACTTCCATAGTTCTTTCCAACCTCTAATCTTGGTGACTAGAAGCATTCCTACTTTTAACCCACCCACTCATCCCCCTGCACATAAATTGCCTCAGTTTCCACCAGATCATCATCAGAAGCACCTTGTGCACTACTGAACTATCCACCCCCTTATGTTTCTCTTGATCACCAATAGTTAGCCAGTCATAATCATGGCAACTGTCCTCTTAGTAAGGATAACCTCTTCTCCATCCAATTCAAGTACTGTTGAATCTGGCATTTCTGGCCCAGGGACTTGTGGATTCACAGAGTTATTGTGGGTTCCATTTTGGGACATAATTTTTAAAAACATCTCCCACTTTCCTAGAGCAAAAATATCACCGTCAATAAACCTCAAGTGTTGAATGAATCCTGCATTTATATATTATAAACTCACAAAGTAGGACACTACCTTTCTCCCATACGGCATATTCAAGAGTTTTGTGCTTCCTTAGTTAGACCCAAGTGAAATTTGTGATGAAATAATGAAATAATCCCCTACTGCAGGGCTGTCAAACTCACTGATGCGTCACGCGTTGGCCACGGCCACGCCCAGTTTAGCGAAGGGGGAAAAGTCACGATATGTCACATGACACCGCTGTGATGACATGAGTTGGACAGCTCTGATCTACTGGATCAATGCCATCTCTGCTCTATGTGCCTTTTTGCATTTTTACTTCCGCTTCAAAAGCAGCCCACTTTTCCTCCTTGGGAACTTTCTGCAAGCAGCATGTTTTCCCTAAAACTTTTGCTGCCCCATCTGCAGTGTCCGGTAGTCTCCATCTTGTCTGCCAGCCACCATGTCCCTGGTCAATTCTTTCTCCTCTTTGGATTTTTTCCCTGGGGTCAACATCCTGATCTGTGTCTTACTCTGCAGGGCCAGCCTTCTGTATCATTTTGCCTCAACTTAGGAGCATGTATCTTCTCTACTGCCTTAACCGTACCCTAATGCTCCCTTTCTCTACTAACTTACTTAAGAGGAGAAATGTCTTCTCCTGTCTTCTCCTCAGAAGGTTAGCTGTATAACTTGACACTGCTGAAGTTGCCAAAATACAGAGTGTTGTTCACAGCTGACAAAAGGGCTCACAAAAAAGCATTTTCCTTATTTTTGTTTTATTAAGCCCTAGAATGTGTCACAAGCAATTTCTTCAGAAATTTTCACACCTACAAAATGTTCCTCTGGCCAGAAAGCTGGGATGAAAAAAAAAATATCAATTAAAATCCTCAGTATTATCTGCCACCAATTAAAGATCAATACAGATAGTCCTCCCTTAATCACCACAAATGAGAGTGGCAACTCCATCACTGTGGATTTAAGTGAAACATCATGTTAAGCACACCAGGCTTATGATGTCAGGTCACTGTCTGTTAAGCAGATCAGCTGTGGTTCTTAAGTGAGATTTCCCATGATCCATGATTTGCACTTTTACTACCAACTTTTTTATCGATTCTGCTTGTGACAAGCCACAAATAGCAATCACACAATCGTGGAATGTTGTGACTGTAGTACAGTAAATGCATCTCAATTGTGAAGCACCCAAATGACAATCATGTGGCTATGGGAAGTTAATAACGGTTCAAGGACCAGTTGTAAAGTCACTTTTTGCAGCAGCTTTGTAACATCACATGGTTGCTAAACAGGGCAGACATTAACCAAGGACTACCTCCAGTAGTTACCGTACAGGCTTTTTCCAGAATGCACGCAGGTTCTAATGTCTGGAAGGAAAGGCTGTATTTAAGAGCTTTTTATAGCCTTTTCAAATATTTTTTTCCCCCTTCCATTCAATCGTGTCCAATTCTTGGAGACTGTGTGGACAAGACCTTTGGCAAGGTGTTTTTTTTTTAAAAAAAAAGGTGGTTTGCTATCGCCTCCTCCTAGGGCTGAGAGAATGTGACTGATCCCAGAACACCTGTTCTGGCCTGTCGGCCGCTGGCCCCTACAGCATCAGATGAGGGGGTGGCGTGAGAGTTAGGGTCAGCATCAAGGCAACCTGAGAGCTCCGAGAGAAGAGGGAATGGAGTTGGCAGAGAGGGAGAGAGAGAGAGGCGGAGCCTGGCCGTCCGTCAGCCCTCAAATGGAGAGTCAACAGCCCCCAGGTCTGGAGGTGGCTGATGAGGAAGAGGAGGAATAGCTGGGTCCAGTGCCTGATGTGCGGCTGAGCAGAAGGCAGAGGAGAGGAGAGCAGTGGAAATCTGTGGGCAGATCCTTGGGACAGAAGAGCTAACGAAGCCCCAGCCTTCATCTGGAGATAAAAGGCAGGGGGTGGAGATGAATAGATGCGGCAGACAATTATTCATGTCCCGGCCAGTCAGACTTGCTAGCCTGAGTTGAGACAGAAACTTTTTTGCTGGGGCTGCTGGGGTTCCTAATAAAGGAATCATTGATTTAAACACAGAGGGTTTGTCGTGTTTGGGGAACTGGGTCAGAACAACATCCAGCTGACTTTGTGACCAAGGCAGAACTAGAACTCATGGTCTCCTAGTTTGTAGCCTGGTGCCTGTTACCAAACACGCTCTCCTACAGATATTAACTAGTTGCAAATAAAATGACACATCTAACACTTTATTTGGAAAACACTGATTGAACGGAAAAGATCGTTCCAACACAGGACTGCATTTTCATATTTACAGTATGAAGACTCACCTCCACTTAGTAGTTTCATAACCAACCAAAGTTCATCCTTGACCACAAAAGATGTATAATACGTAACTATGTTGGGATGGCTGCATTGACTCATGGCTTGGATTTCTTTCTATAAAGGAAGCAAAATACGACATAATAGTCTTGGCAAGGAAAAATGTACGCTTATCCTAGCTATTTGCTGTCAGGAAATAAATAACAGTGGATGAGATTAGGAAGTGTTAAATTCATCGTTTAAGAACATTGTGCTTGGAAATTTCAGAGAAAAATAATGCGACTAAACTGAATGTCTGTCAAAGGAAAGTCCTTCTGAGATACTGACTTGCAATCATCTCTAGCAGTTTTGATTAGTTAATTACAATTCCAACTTATTTTTTTAAGAAAAATGCAGCTTTTTTCCCCCCGCTCAAGTCAAACAAAACGTTTTGATCACCCAAAACGTGATTTGTTTTCTATGCTTCTTACGAACTGATACTTGAAACTTTTGGTTTGAGTCACTGTAATATTACCAACATATTCTCAATATTTCAGAGGAAATGGTATTTGTTATATCTAAATCATAACACACTAGAATTAACGAATATACATTGTCGATATGAGGGGTCCTTAGTGCTCTGAGCTTAGTTGTTTTCTTGCAGATGTTTCATTACCCAAACTAGATAAGATCTAGCACTGATGATATTACCTAGTTTGGCTAATGAAACATCTGCAAGAAAACAATTAAGCTCCAAGAGCTCCAAGAATCCCTCATTTCAACCCCAAGCTACGAATATTCTCTCTTATTGATAAATTTTAGATAAAAATACAACTCAAAACACCTGCATGTTTCAATATCACTATGATTTTCTTCTTGCCTTAATGGACTGTTTCATCTCTTTGTTTAGTAAGATTAAAATTTCTTTGACATCGTATTTATCCAGTGCAAAATAAGAAAAATTATCATTAAGATACACGCAGCAGTAATATTTAAATGGCTTGAGTGATGATTTTGCAAGTCGTACTTCATTCGGCCGAAGTCCCTTCATCTTTAAGATCAATGGGTGAATATAAGCTTTCAACAAAAGCAGACTGGTGTGTCCTTGTAAGGTCTTTCCACAGTTCTAAAGCAGATTTTTTAAAAATGTCTCTTCTAAATACAAAAGAGAAAACCCAATGTGATGCAAGTGATATTAAATAAACCATTGACACTCCAGTGTTAAGTTAATAATGCAGTTGTTAAGTGAACCTGTCTTCCCCATTGACTTTGCTCATCAGAAGATCCAAAATCTAATTACATGACCCCAGGACACTGCAACTGTCATAAATATGAGTCAGTTGCCAAGTGTTTGAAATTTGATCATGCAATCTTGGGGCTCTTGGGGTTAAGTGTGAAAAAACAATAATCAGTCACTTTTTCCAGTGCCATTCTAACCACTAATGAACTGTATAAGTCAAAGACTACCTGAATAAATTACTATCTTCAGCGATGTTGTAACTTCGAAGTGTTGCTAAACGAATGATCGTAAGTTGAAGTTTAACTGTACCGTAGCTAAAATGTAGATATAATAGGCCATAAAAATCCACACTGCTTTTTCACAGCTGTTTACTATAATTACTGTTCAAAGTTCAGGTGGAACAATCATATGCAAGTACTGTTTATAAGACACTGAAGAACTCTTAAAAGGTTGATGAATCAGCTTGCTTATTTATTTATTGTTCATTCATTCACTCATTCATTCTGCTCGTTCTACCTACAAGCAATTCATCCATACTGGTCTGGCATTTTTCCAAGTTGATTCTTTTTATTGCTACGCGTTCCTGCCTGGGTTTGCAGAGCGCTGCTTGGACTACGGCGGTTGCACCACTGCCTGAAAGAGAAAAAAGAAACAATGGATTAAGTTTTGCACAGCTATTTCCAACCCCTTCTTTAAAAGAACAACGTGGAGCTTCTCAGGAGCACATCTTAAAATCAGCCTAAGAAAGAATTTGTCAGTCCCCCTTCACGCTGTACTCCAAATCATACCTACAAGGCAGAGGTGGTATTCAGCAGGTTCTGACCATTTCTGGAGAACCGGTAGTGGAAATTTTGAGTAGTTCAGAGAACCGGCCAATACCACCTCTGACTGGACCCACCCCCATCTATTCTCTGCCTCCCGAGTCCCAGCTGATTGGCTGGGTCTTCTTTTGTTGCCCTGCACAGGAGAACGGAGCTGGAAAGCAGGTTAGTGGGGTGGGGAGGGAATGGAGATTTTACAATATCTCCAGGAGCAGGGAAGAAATGGGGATTTTGCGGTACCTTCCCCTGCCCACCGAGCCATGCCCACCGAGCCAAGCCCACAGAACCAGTAGTAAAAAATTTTGAATCCCACCACTGCTACAAGGAACATTGCATATACGTGCCCAAAGGCCCCATTCCAAAGAATTAAATGCAACCCCAGGGTTTCCCCAAAACATTAATGCGAATTAAACAGAAAGCAAAGAATGTTGAATACTGTACACAGGACACCATTTTATTAGTTATACTGACTTACTGTAATTAAACAGAAACAACCCCAAATTTAGCTTTTATTGTAGTCCCGATAAACCCGAATTTGTTGAACAATAACCCAAGGCATTGTCATGTAGGTCAACGCAGCTTCCAAATTCAAGAGTACACATCCTTTTTGTAAGTTGTATAGTAAGTGACTCCTTGAGGGCCATTTCTGATTGCTCACTAAGTTCTTGTTTATTTTGGAATATTAATGGTCAACTTCTGCCAAGCATCTTCTTTATTAGACCAAGTGTTCATCCCAAATTGTATAGCTAAAGTCTGTAGAAATCCTCGGAAGTCTGTAGAGATTCTCAGAAGACTCTCCGAGAATCTCTACAGACTTTTAGCTATACAATTTGGAATGAACATCCTTTGAATGTTGTGGGAGTAGGAATGGATTTCCAGAGAAAAAAAATTGCAGACGACAGGAATCAGAAGCACTACTCAGGTGACTCAGGGGACACAGATAAACCTCCAAGTGCTTCAACAACCCTCTAAAAGGATGCAAATGACCAGGAATATAAATCCTTCCATTCCCCACTATCCTGTCAGAGCTGAAGAAGCTTCTTGGATGAGAAGCAAACGTCGTCAATAGAAAAAACAAGAAAGTCCAGTTGCCTCCTGAAAAAGTCCCTTTGGGACAACCATGACCTGGATAACTGAGAATCTCCACAGACTAATGCCCATCATGGTGACCATTTTATAAAAGCATGTGCAACGTGCTTCAACATTTAGAAAATGCCTATCAGCCCACCCACCCCGAAGGTTGTCTACCCCTGCTTTTGTATATTTCCAAAGCAGGCAGTCAAACAACAGAGATCCAAAACTATTTTCTGCAACTAAACTAGTAATATAATGGCTCATTCATCCTTAGAATTTGAAATATTCTAAGAAATTTGACCTCATTATTGTTCCCACCCACCGAGAAGAAAAATGGATTTGCAGTAGAACAATGAAAGAATAATTCGGCCCAACCATTTCATATTCAAAAGGCTTCATTATTAAACATTTATTCTTTTTGTTGTTTTCTATACTTTACTGGAGAATTGAATTAGCCTTAGCAAGAAGAGAACTCATTTTTTGACTTTATCTGATTTCTGTCCCTGATTGGAACTGTAGTTACAATATTCTGACCTTACCCAAATGATTGCAGACAAAAGCTCAGTGAATAAAAGAGACCTGGTAGGAAAATCACGTGAGATTTGAAGTTCATTTGAGGTCATAGTTAAGCAAATGGATCTTTTGTTTTTCTGAAGGGCTGGTGAGAACATGGGTTCCTGGAAAGTTGCAAGTGCTTTCAATGACAAAATGGAGCATCTGTGGATTGATACGATCATATATTTTCTCCAAGCTCAGGAAAAAATATCAAGAAGCCATAATTTGCAGAACAGTACTCTTCAATAAAGATTGTCTTAAAAACCAACAATCCACATAGCAAATTGTGTAGCGTAAAAGCACAGAGAAATATTTTGAAAGCACCTGACCATTCCCATCTCTATTTCTGATTAACCCAAGCTTTAAAATGACAAACACCACTTAGCATTCCTGCACAAAAAAAATCCATGAACAGAAACACTTCTGTGGAATGCTACAACTGATCTTCTCAAACAGTGGCTTCTGCTCTGCTTGTCCATCTTGGAAGTCCTAAACAAATACAACATGCACATAAAAAGCCTTTTGTTAACAAGCTTTACAATGAAAACTCAGTTGTGTGCTTGGAGCAAAACAATAGGTCCCTCTTGGCTCCAATCAATCAACAGAACTGACATAACCTCATGACTGGAAACTATTGTCCGTGTTTTAATTGATGTTTGGTAACTAATTTAGAAATAGGATGTTCTGTATGCAATATGCATCCTGCCATGGTTTAAAGACAAAGATTGCAGCTCATAATATCTACTCAATTAAGATTGCTAATAAACATACGCTAAGCCAATATTAGGGGACAAGTGCTTTGACGCACTAATTAATTGTACCATTTCTCCCCCAATAATTACTTTTAAAAAGTTAAATGAATGGTGCTTGGAAACACTCATTGCTGCTCTCCTTCCATGGATTTATGAAGTACAAAATAATTACCAACCAATTTTGTGTATTTTTTTTATGCATTTATACATTTTTTTTAATCTGTTGTTTTTTTCATGATGGATGATTTGAATGTTTTCAATGTTTTAATGTTGTTAGCCCTCCCAGAGTCATTGGATACAAGATGAGTGTCAAATACATTTTATAAATAAATAAATAATAAGTAAGTAAATACGATTGCTATTATCTGCCTGATACAGGGCACTTAACGTGGGTTATAACAAAAATAGAATATAACCGTTCAAAATTATATATAACACTTAACATTACTATTTGTCATGCCCTTGTTAGAATCGGACTCTGAGGGAGAGGAGGAACAGCCAATAGGGAGTGGAGGTGTGGCTCTGGAGGTTGTGGAGGAGGCTGGGGAAGGGCAGAGGCCATCTGGGCAGTTAGAGGAAGAACCAGGCCCATCCCCTCTTCATCCTAGGACACGCAGGGAGGAACGGAGAAGGAAACAACTTGGCTTAAGAGAGAGGAAACGGCCATAATCCCCCTCACTGGTTGCAGCAGGGGAGAATAGAGACAGTTAAAACACAGTATTGCCAGAAGCAAAGCATGCTTTATTTTGGGCTGAAATTATCTTGATTGGCGTCCTTCCAACAGACTGTGCCTTGTTATCTCCTTGAAGTTGGTAATTACTTATCCTGGTCCCTTGTGGAAATTCTTTCATTGTAGTTTGTTTCGGTTTTTCATTTCACCTCTATCTGATCATTACATTCGGACTGTATTGCTTTCTTTTGAAGACTATTTTTGAATAAGTTTTATCTCCAACTGAGAATTATTGAACAGTGGGGCCAAGTTGGAGGCATTAAAGGACATTTATTTACGTTTTGGATTTGATTACGTTTGTGTTACACTCCAGGTCATCACATTATTAAAACTAACTTGTATTTCAAAACTTGGTTGAAGGAGACATGGCAACTATTAGATCCCAATCTTAATCTTTTCCTGATCGAAGACCTAAATCCTAGACAAGAAGTGGGATGCCTCAGCATAAATGAATTAAGAACACATTTCAGATGAAAGTTGTCAAGAAGTTCAAGCAAGACTCACAAGAAAAACTGATCCATCCTAGCATGTGAACATGATAGATATCAGAACCTGAACTATAATATCAGAACAATTCTGCTGCAATTTTTTCCCAATTATGGAACAAACATAGAAGCTGATGCAAACTCAAGACAATTATGCCTTATTCAACAAAACTAAATTAAGGCTAGTTTGATGCATTGCATGATATGTAAAAAGGCCCAAGACAAAAGGAAATTGCTTCAAAGCGATGCATCCAATCCGTAATGAAAGCGTACCATCCAAATTCAATTAGCTTGATATCGGTCAGGCTAGAATCCCAAGCCAACCTTCAAATAAGTTGATGATAATGCAGATAGTAATGAGCTAGTCAGTGGTGGCACTTGCATTTGAAACTTTCTTCCCTCAGATTTCTTCTTCCACTCTATATTTCACTTCCACTTATACGTAAGTCTTTGCTTAATTGTTGATTAATTTGTTGACTCAGTTCTTGCTTTTTGTCACTTTTTTTTAGTCTGGCATTTTGTGTTTTAATTATGGATTTCTATTTTTATGTCATTTTTCACATTGTGTAGGTATTTTCTGCTACATACATTTTTAAATAAATAATGTTTAAAATAGCAATGGAGAAATAACTGTTCAAACAAAATAAAATGCTAATTATTGTTTGATTCAATTGTTTGAACCATAGCCCATTTAGAAAATTGTACATTTGTGACCATTTGATCAAGAAATAGGCAACTGGATCATAAAATTAATTGTTCTATATTGAGCACTCAAGTATTCCCACCCAGCTATTTCCCCAGTATTCAGTAAAACAGAGGAAAAAAAGATACTTAGCATTCAAATTGTTAACAAGATATGACTTGTTGCAACGGAAAAAGCAAGCTACTGTAGAAAACAGAATTGTGCCAAAATTTATCACAAATATTTTTCTGTCCTTTTATAAGGGGGATTCTGGCTTTCTATTTACCTGGGCAACTTTAGAACTGAAATCAAGCTCGTTTGCTAATATATAACAGCAATAATAATTTAGAAGAATTTAAAACTAAAATTCTAAAAAAACAGGGCATTATGTTCTTAGAACCAAACTGGATGTTAGAAGGCGAATTACCGAATTTGTTTGGAAATACAGTAAAGGAAGGGTTACTTGGTGAGAAGCTAAAAATTAAATATCTCTTGTGAAAAACAATAACAATGGGTTCTTTTTATTTATTTATTCATTTCTATCCCAGCTTGATTATTTTTTACAAATAACTCAAGCTAACAAACATATTTAACACATCTTCCTCCTCCTATTTTCCCCACATCAACAGCTCTGTGAGGTGTGTTGGGCTGAGAGAGAGAGAGTGACTGGCCGAAAGTCATCCAGCTGGCTTTCAAAGCTAAGGCAGGGCTGGACTTGAATTCACAGTCTTCCCGCTTTTTAACCTGGTGTCTTAACCACTAGACCAGACTGGCTTTTATAACAATAATTACTACAATTATTAAGCTATTAAAATCTAATAACTGTTTCACATTATTGGGGCCAGCTGACCAATCCAATACGGCAATCTGAGGTCCGCGACGCCGGTGGTAGCATAATTTCAACACAGAGAGTCCACAAAGGCTTGAAGAAATGTTATGAGGCAAATGTTGAATTAAGTGATAAAGAAAAGATTGAGAACCACTGCTATATGGGATGGAAAGGATTAGTGCATCCACTTTTGCCAGGAATGTTAAATATTTTGTTTTTTATTCTTAATCTTTTCCATGTGCTATTTTCTTATTCTAATCTGGAATAGCAATCAAATATCTACAAAAATCCTAATAATATGGTGACATTTCCATACTCATGCAGAAATGCTACTCTTGTGCATATGTGAACAAAGATACAATTTAGGGTTTTTCAAAGTTGGCAATTTGCGAGATGTATGCAACTCCCAGGATTCCTGGATGGGGAATACCTGGAAGGAATGCTGCTAGGAATTCTGGGAGTTGAAGTCCACAGATTTTAAAGTTGCCAAGTATGAAAAACACTGCTACAGATCATTATCTCAATTAGGAACTTGCTGCTCAAGACTCTACAATAATTACAGAATCCCATAGCTTTTTTGTTTTTGCTAATTTGGTCATTAATTTAATGCCGACATCAAGTGTTAAATCTGAACTTATAACCCAAGCTAATGATGCAAAGCAATGACCAAATTATCCTCTTCCCAGCTTCTTCTTACAAGATGAGATGCCCACTCAGACCTCATTATTATCAAGTGCTGCAATTCCTCTTCAATATACAGTATACTCTACTTGTATGCATTCCCTAATAACTAACACTGATAATTGTTCAAATTCTTACATTCTAAATGAAGTCCAATGGTATTACAAAATTACTCAAGAACAGCAATTTAAAATTTCACCTAGAACACTGTTCTGAATCTGTTGGGCATTGCAAACCTATTTAATATGTCAGTATCTGGTTTCATGTATATGTGTGTTTCCAGGCAAAAATTTGGGTCACACATTTAACCCATGGCCCCTGAGCCACATGTGGCTCTAAACAGCTAGTAATGCAGCCCCATAAGATTGTAAGACAAATCTAGACAGCAAACTAAAAATCAGAAGCATCTCCCTGCCAACAAAAGTGCTTATAGTCAAGGCTATGGTTTTCCCAGTTGCAATGTATGGCTGTGAAGGTTGGACCATAAGAAAGGCTAAGCGCCAAAGAATTGAGGCCTTTGAATTATGGGGCTGGAGAAGACTCCTGCGAGTCCCTTGGACTGCAAGGTGATCAAACCGGTCAGTCCTAGAGGAGATCAACCCTGACTGCTTTTTAGAAGGCCAGATCCTGAAGATGAAACTCAAATACTTTGGCCACCTAATGAGAAGGAAGGACTCACTAGAGATGAGCCGAATGCTGGGAAAGACTTAGGGCAAAAAAAGAAAGGGACGACAGAGAATGAGATGGCTGGATGGAGTTATTGAAGCAGTCGGCGTGAGCTTAAATGGACTCTGGGGGATGGTAGAGGACAAGAAGGCCTGGAGGAACGTTGTCCATGGGGTTGCGATGGGTCGGACATGACTTCGCAACTAACAACAAGAAGATTGTAAATTTCACATTATTATATGATTTATATTATCTATCTATCTA